AGTGTTTTCCCATGCTAATGACTATCAATATGATACTATACGCGGGAAAAAGGTAATGACTTTCTTTCTATTTTATTTACGAAAATATTAATTAATTATTGCATGCTGCTAATTTTTTTATCTTTATCTTTTATAGGGTGGTTTGACTCTTGAGGAAAGAGAAAGTCTAATTACAAAAGTGTTTCCTTCAATATATACAACACTTTATGACGCCCTGTGTGATTATGCAAAAAATTCTAGTTGGTAAGAATTTAATATTTTGTTATTTCTAATGTACATCTTTTATGTTGTTTAAAATTTTTGTTTAACACTTTTTAATTTAACAGGGGATATACAGAGTCATTTTCAGATGTTCTTAAAAGATTTTCAAGTTGTGGATCTCAATATTGATTTCCTGTTCCTGGTAAGCATTTGATATCGATTTGGGGGCTATTTTGGTGTGGTGTTTTCGGGTTGTTTTAGGTTACATTGTGTGTGAATAGTGTTTGAGGTGTGGGCAAAGGGTTCGTATTATTGCTTGTGTGTCTTGACGATGTGAGTATGTGATAGGTGTTGCACACGTGATGGTTGTTGAGTGGTATTGTGTATGTGATGGGTGTAGAGTGTGTTTTGGTATTGGGTATTAAGCATGTCATTTATGAGTTAATTTGTATGTTTGGAATTTTTGATACTCCTTGTTACATGAGTTGTAGTGGACTAGAAGTGCGTAATTTGGCATTATTTCTTTGGTTTATTGGTGGTGATGGGTAATTGAACTTTTGGACTAGGCGTACTTTTGCGGAATATGCAACAAAACTACTGTGAAAAGGCATTGTAAATAACTGTTAATTGACACATAGATTAAACTAAATGTCTTTACACATACATTATGTTGTATGATTCTTATAACATTTAATATTTTCTTTCTAATTCCTTTTGGAAGTCTCGTATAATAATTACATTCATTGTCATTGCTGAAACTAAAAGGTTGGACAACTATCGGTACATCACTTGTTACTTATTCCTTTTCTTGTTTCCTGTTTCAGTTGATATTTTTTCTCTTTGTAGTTGCGTCATTTCTTGAAAAATCTCATAATCTTATTCTGAATTTTCACTCCATGTTCTCATCTCTATGAAACGTCCATCAAATTATTTTGTTATGTACAGGTTTAAAATAAAATTATGCATACGGAGTACTGGATTTATGTCTATGAGTCTGCATTCAACTCTCTGCGTGTAGATTAGTTTTTGCAGAAAAGTTCCCAATTGATGTGTTATGTCTTATTGTATTGTATTTTACTATTGTTTATGAGTACTAAGATTCATGTCTCTGAGTTTGTGTTCCAACTCTCTGGGTGTAGATTAGTCTTTGCAGAAAAGTCAATGCAGGTTGATGTTATTGATGTATTTTGTCTAATTGTAGTTGGAGTATTATGGCTATTGCTTCACTGATGTTCTGTTGGCAAAAAAATCTGTCAAAATTGTAGAATGTAGTGGGCATTGGGGGTCAATGTGAGGCAGAGAAATGTATGAACCTATGTGTGTATCCTCAGCTTCAGCTAAGCCTTCTAGATAATATAACACAACTCCCTCATCGAATCTTGTTAGCAGCTATTCATATTTTGTAAACATGATTAACTTGATAGATTTTAAGATATGCTATATAATTACTCTCTGTATCAAGGATAGACTTTAGCAATCAAACATACAAGTAGTTAATATCACCTAAATACAATGAACTACCAATTTAATATCAGATGTCGTTCTTGCTTGCTGTCTTACAATGTAAAGATATATTTTTGTTATACATAAGTTTGTTATAGATATATTTCCGTTATTATCTGATTATTTTCTTATCATGTATACAATTACGCAGTTTGCAGGTAGGTGAAGGGGGTCGATAAATGAATTGATCCACTAGATGCATACCCTCTGATGTCTGCAACACTAGTAGCAAGCCTGATTTATTTTTTGGTTCAGACAGATCATTGTGTTGCTTGAGATTTAAGTATAGAGCTGACTTTTTCTTATGTGAGCTAAGCTACTTCTGGAGAAGTTAAACATGGAACTACTGTTGTTTACGCATGGGGTTTTTATTCTCAAAAGAAATATGTCTGTAAAATTGTACCTGAATTTTCTATCCCCGGATCAATGTGCAGCAAGTTGAGACCTTAAAATTTATGCTTCTAAACATATCTGTTAATTTTATGCTAAAGCTTGACTCATTGAGCTTCCTACTTATGCACTCAATTTGACAATAATAATGCTAGCAACAATCTACTTTTTCTACTTCTAGTATATGAAATTAAAAGAGGTTCCCTGTATGTTCATTTTATGCTTCAATGATGCACATATACCTTTGACTTTTGTAAAATAACGTCAACAATGTTCATATACTATCCTAAACAATCTTGATAAGAAGCAGAGAATAAAGCATTCTCGCCCTATTAATGGCCTACTTTACTTTTGCACTGACCTGTCCTAATTATTAATACCTACACCCTAGTGTAGGGCCGTACTAATACCTACACCCTACGAAGATGTCATTGTGATGCACTTGCTTGTGCAGCATTGTGAGGCCTTTAGACTTCCTCGTTGGTATGGTAGCCCAATAAAACCAAGTTTTCAGACTTTAGACGAAAAAGAATAAATTTTCGAGGACTTTATGCGTAATGCTCGCTGCGTTTGGCAGATATTTTGGACACAAATTCCTGTTTCTCTCACATGGACTTCCTAATGTTTTTTTCTTATAAATTAAGGAATGAAAATGACACAATCAAGAGAGAAAATAGCATGATATTTCAGAACTTTTAATGGTCACAGTTGGGATTCAAAGAATAAAAGTTCTAAGATAAACTACATTAATATTTGCAGACAAGATACTTAAAAAAAAAAAAACTATAGCTTATCCCATCTGTGGTTCGTCTTTATATAATTATATAATGGGATTCATCATCAACCCAAATTTTTGAATCCTACCAATTTACAAGGTGCAGTTTGGAATTCAGTCTCCAAAAGTCATCACAGTCAATCACTTCATATATCAAACCCCTTGAGAAAATCTGCAATACCCGTAAACAATGATAGTATAAGAGTAAACTTCTCATTTTTCTATCGCGCCTTTGATTATCCCCATCTTTACAAATGTCAAACAAGAACTTTGATAGTGAAGCAAACCGCGGAAGATGGAGGAGCATATCCCCAAAAGATCAATTATTGGCATGCTTGGTGTCTGATTGCCGCCATCTCCCCCAGCTGTAGTTGTCACCCTCATTAGTTGTATTCTGATCCAATAACTAAGGTTCATGGTTATTGGCTTTTCCATCCACACTTTCTTCAGTCACATCAGAACTCTGAACAGAAGCACCATCTTTCTGAATGAGGGAGTACCAAGAGTTGACCTTTGAGTCTCTAACATGAGGAATTTTCATCAGAACATGGTCGGGTGCTGGGTAAATTCCTCGATCGTTTTATTTTGGGACTTGGATCCTTCTTATGTGAATTTAGAAACCTCAGAACTCCTCTGTTTCGTAAGGCAATTTCCAATATGATTCACAGGGTCACTCATGCATAATTCACTGTTCAACGCTTTTTAATTCCTTTGGTTTTCCTGATTGGCTACTCGAACTAACTTTCATTACGCACACATCCATCACTAAAATGAATACTTGGTGATCAGAAGGAAATTTAACAAATGTAAATTAAAAGCCAATGTCCAAGATTATTGATGACCATTGATATCATAAACATGATGAATTATATCTCAACACCACGGGCACCTAGGTAGCTAGCAAGTGAATGCTGAGGCTGAGATAGACTGAGACATAAAATAGTTCTGCCCTTCCAAAATTTAAAACAAAGGATTCTTAAGATAATGAACATTTAAAGAGGAAGCATGGCCATATATTGCTCACCAGATATACATCTAGAGGTGGGAAATGGGTTGTTCAGACGTGGTACAATTCAGGCCATGTCAAGTCATGTTTGGGTATGTTCAACTGAATCAGGTCAGTTTGGGCCAAATCATATTTAATTCTATTGCCAACAATCTTACTATGTTAAATAAAACGTATTAGACATATTAAGTGTCGGCAGTCACCCCCCTACGGCCCTACACCCCTACCCCATTAAAGCATAGGATTTTTATGGTAATGAACATTTATAAAACAAGAAGCATGACCACAAATTGCTTTAGAGGTGGCAAAGAGGTTTTTTTGGTTGGTACAAAATTCAGGTCATGATAGGGTATGCTTCAGGTCGGTTCAGGCCAAATCATATTTGATATTATTGCTAGTAAACTTATATGAAAGTAATCGTAATAGACATACTAAGTCTCGGCATCCTCCAATCCTCCCCCCCCCCCGGAAAAAATATAAAATATATAAAAATCTCTTCTGGTATGATATATTGACAGATCCTACAATAAATTCAACATAAGGATGTACAAAGAAAGAAAACAGAAATTCTAACAAGAAAATTGTTGAGGAATCCATGCCAAATTTCAGACACCATCTCCAAATACAGAAGTCTAGGACAAACACAACAACATCAATGGTGTCTAAATCATAGCAGACATGGTGATAAAAAGGATACCTGAGCTTGGAGAAGTAGCTTCACAAGACAGAGTCTCAGATGTTCCATAACTTGTTTGACTGAGAGAGATGATTATTAGGATAAAGGTATTCCGACATCTTCAAAGATTGAGATGCTAGGTCCTCTGCTAGTTTATATTTGATCCAAGCTATGACTTTTAGATTCATTTGAGTCGTCAAAAACAGAAGGCTGCAAATCGAAGTTTGGAGGATCTAGACTTATTAATTTCTGGTTACCGGCTCAGAAAATTAAGATGCATATCACACTGTGTCAATTTCTCAAAATGCTTGTTTAATAGACCATAAGGCACCAGAAGGAAATGCTTCCTGTAAAATTGCAGTAGTATAAAAAATATAGATTTTAATATTCCCTAGCCAAAAAAAGTAAAATTAATAAGCCTTAAAATTACACAATTTTAAGAAAACGCAGTGCATGTAGAAAAACTTTATTTAATGCCAAAATAAATTCAGGAAAATTCATATTATATTATTTTAATAATATACATCCTCCGTTTAGTAATAATGGCAACACTTCCTATCTAGCAAGGAGTTAAGCCTACTACAATTTTATTATATCTCTCCCATTAACCCCAGTACCCCACAACCCACTTGTACAAATATGTTATTAATTCTCTCTCCTATTGTTATTATAAGGAAATTTTGACTTTTGGTACCACAAAAACACTCGGTATTCATTTTTGCTACCGCTCATATTTTTTTTTATTTTACTACCACTAAAAATCACATATTTTAAAATTCGCTACCAGTTGACGGAAGCTGTTAGTTTTGCCGTTTGTGGGCCCCACTTCACCCCTACCCCTCTCTCTCCTCCTTCCCCAGCCACCAATCCCCTTCCCCTTCCAATCCCTAAACCCCAGCTCCCAAAACGAGCCCAGCATCATTTATATACAAATCCGTCCTTCCCTCCCAATAAAATATAGGGAGCATCTTCATTTAACTAAGTCCAAACATAATCAAACATTTTTCAATTTTAAGTAAGATGAAATTATAAGTTTCCCATATTACTCTAAATTACACCCTTATAATTCCAAAGGGGCATTAAGAACATAACGCCCACAGGTCACAGGACGAGGCAGTTCTATGTTAATTTGCTCATTAGACAGATCTTTAAATAAGCATCTGAGAAAAATATAGCATTGGTTGTACCATGGATACTTGGATGAGATTAAGACAACCTTATAATGGAAAGTGATATAGCTCAATTCAAACTCAGATCTCTTGATTGAAAAAATTCCAATCAAGTAATTCAGTATTGATTGGCTCTATCTCCCTTCTTTCTTGAGATCTTCATAGGCCTTCTTTAAAGCCCCCAACTCCATTTGCGCCTTCCCCCATCAACTACTAAAACCAGAGATCATGAAATCATGGTACTGTCTAAAAATCATTAAGCTTGATGGCACACAAGCTGCAATGTTGAGTTAAATGGAAATTGTCAGTGCCTTGAACTCGATTACCATATCCCTCATATCTCATATGAACATCATCAGTCATAAGAGCATAAAAGTGACACAGAAACATTTGATGGCCTTGGCCAAAGCATTGCTAAAATGGTTTCTTTTAACAGAGAGTTACCAGCTTCCTTGAGGGATACTGCATATTCCATAGCCTCCGATCCATTGGACTACTGGTTTTCTCAAACATTTCCTCAACATCACAGTCATCCTCCCCTAAATGATGCAAAACAATAGATTCCACACTTGAGTCTTCCCCTAAACCCATTCCCAAATAAAAAAACAGAACAAGAACAAAACTAGATAAAACAAACAAAAGACCATTGGAAATCCTGCTTTGTTTTTTTTTTTTTTTTTTTCTTTTTAATATTAGACCACTTGCCTTTTCGAGAAGTTTCACAAATATTGTACCATTTTCATTTTTCGACAAATTTTTTTTGTGTTCATAGTACAAATAACTAACACACCCATATTTTTTCACACTTATTCTTTAGTTTATGTTTATCACATGGGCAATTTTGTAATTATTATGTTTCTCTCTCTTCTTTAATCCCCACTACCATAATTATTGCAGATTGGCAAATGTGGCAATATGACCCCCTAACTTAGATTCATAGTGTAATTAACCCCCTTAACTTTACAATGTGACATTTTAAATTTTTAAACCCATTAGTTTTTAAATACGTGAAATTAAGTACAAATTCAATTTTCCGGCCAAAATTATCACCGAAAAATGATGACATGGCACATTATGTATATTAAATTTTAATCTTTTTAATCTATAAACAAATAAATAAATACAATAAAAATATGTATGTTTTACAATTAAAATTACTCCATACATCATCTATTATCTTACCTGTAATTCTATTTTTTTTTTTACAATTAATCAATAAAATAGGATTAATATAATATACATCTAAAGTAGATAAATTTTTATACATGTGTATACTATTGAAGATAGATGCTTTTTATTATCTATTATTTGTTCTAAATGATGCATAAACTCAATCTTTTCCCTCATGGTTTGCACAAGCAATGATTATTTTACATAATTAAATCTAAAGAACTAGTAATAAGAATGCCCTAATTTATATGCAGTTTGAAAATTGCTTAATTTTTACTCATATACTAAATTTTTCCCTTAAAATGATACATGTGAGCATTAAACACAAGAAGGTACAATTGACATGCACAACTAGGAAACTTACCAAGAGCATCATTCATGGAGAAATGAAGAATGACGTTTTTGGAGAAGGTTAGGGAGTCTTATTGCCACATTTGCCATTGTAGAAGGTACTAAATGTTCAGTTTTATTTATTTATTTATTTATTAAATGTTCAAATTATAGATGTGGTGCATTTAAAAAATAGTTGCACCATATTGCACGTAATAACTATTGATCCCCGCTCCCCCACCCACTAAACAGAGACCCATCCCTACCCGTTAGAGCGGGTCTTTTTACTTGACCTGCCACACTGACATCCCAGAAAATAAAGCCGTGTTTAGAATTTGTTTCGAAATAGAAAGAAAGTCTACAAGTGCTCTTATAAAATACGGGTCATGAGCCCAATCATTGTTGATAAGAAGGTACCCACAATTACCCGCCCAAGAGAAGCCCACCCTAGATTGCTTAGGCTTCGTATAAATAAAGGCATATAAATAAAGGCATCTAGGGCCGCAACCGCAAGTGTGGCAAATTGGGGGTGTTAGAGTGTTAGGTATCAATTGAATTGAAGAGAGGAAGCGATGCCGGAAAAAATGGTGGTGGAAAAGAGAGGGGAATTGAAGAATAAGATGATAGTAGGGGGCGTGGTGATTGAACCCAGGAACCCTTTACTTATAGCACCTCGTGATTGTTGTGAAATTGTTTTACTATGTTTTGGATCTGAACACTGCGGAAGTCTCATCACTTCCTCGTATCGTGGTTGGTAATGGTTGTGAGCCTCCCGTGGGTGTTGTGGGATCTACACTTTATGTTTTTTGGGGGCGGCAAATCGTTCTCCTCCGGTGACGGTGATGATTCCGCAAAATCAAAACCCAAGAAAGGTAAGAGGAAAACAGAAAGGCTTATTCTCATGTCATATGCTAGATCTTACCAAACCTAAAGATGGTTGGAGACTAGCCACCGCTGGGCTCGATCAGTCACCAGCCGTAAGGGCCAATCAGGCGTGGCCAGAAGGTATCGTCGAATTTGGTGGGAAGATATATGTTTTTGACAACTCCGAATCTGGTTTTATTGGCGAGGTTTTCGATCCTCAACATAATAATTGGCGTCGCTTAAAGTCGCCTCCGTTCCCACCGCCACCGTGTGGTGATGGGGATCAGTTGTTTGATTACCGCACACTAATTCTTCCGGTTATGGCGGATCACAAAAGAAACAGAATCATAGTGTACTTCCAGTATATCTCAACGATGTATGCCTATTATCCATGTGAGGATCAATGGCGGTGTCTGGTTGAGGACCTTAAAGGTGGATGGCAAAGGTGGGGAGAGGCCGTGACTATCGCAGACGATGGGGTTATCTATATTCATAATCCTAGAATGAAGGCATTCTTTAGGGCTTATGATACAGTCTCTAAAGAATGGTTGAACGTAAGACTGTCCCCTGAGGCTGAGGCTAAAGCCGACTATCGATCTTATCTTATTTATACCAGATATGATACCTTATTACATCGGGGCAATGGCGTGCTGTGCTTGATCTTTTCCGCTATTCCTTGGGACGAGAACCCCGCCTTTGATCATATTGTCCAATTCAAAGTCCAACTCGTCAACTTGAATGCCAACTCTAAGGAGATTCTTGTCACTCCGCTTTCTTCCCAACATTATAATCTCCCCTCTCGCTGCAGTACTTTTCTCTACCTCCCTGTCTAGGTATGTTAGCTAGCTAAGCTTTTGTTAAGGTTATTCAATTGTAATATGTTCTTGATCATTATATTCTTAAATATTACTTTATATTTCTATGATCATTATATTCAATTGTAATATGTTCTTGATCATTATAAGACCCTTGACTATTGACAATAATTCTATATATGTTAACCTTCTTGCAAATTATTGTTATACTTTAAAAATTGCTTATTTGTTTCCCACCTCTAAGGCTCTGTTTGTTTTTAAGGAAAACAAATTTTTTGGGAAAATGATTTTTTCATGGAAAATAATAATATTTTTAAAGAATTAAAAAAGTAAAAGATAAGGAAGGGAAAGTGAGAGTGAAAGGGAGAATGGATAAGAGGATAGAAGAAGAATGTAAAGAGTGGGAAGAAAAGTGTGGCATACTGTAAATATTTTTCACTTTAGAGAAAATTAGTTTCCACCTTTGTGAAAATTGTTTTCCACCTTTAGAAAATGTTTTCTGTCAAAACAAATGGAGCCTAAATGCTCCTCAACATTTTCATTGCTTGTTCAGTAGTTCAAACATGTCATGAATCAATCAAGCCTACTTTCTATCGTTTAAGCTTCTCTTGAACATGAAATTGGTTGAAAAGTAGAGGTGAATGAATTTTGCCTGTAATGCTGCACATTTGTCTCTCCGACTCATGAGATGAGTAGTTGTTGATTTTTACTCGTGTTTTTTCATTACTGTTCAATAGTTGATCTATGTCCTGAGTCAGGCCTTCATTTAGTCTAACTCTGTCTTTTAAGCTTTCCTTCAAGGTATCTACCCTCTTCCCTGTCCCCTGCTCTCTCGTATTTGGGGTGAACTTCATATTGTACCTGTTGGGCTATTTTAATACCAGTTTCTGCGTAAAATGTTATCACTCTTACCATGTTTATTAGGGTCTTGGAGTTGAGGGTAGGTTTTGAGTCCATTATGGATAATGAACCTGAACCATATTCCATTTCTTCCGTTTCCTATGTCTCCTTTCAATTTTTTTTTTTCCTTATGTATGCTCATTAATATAATGCAGAATTAAGCAATCATTACAAAATGTAGAATTAAGCGTATGAGTTGTGATGGATGTGTAATCTTAAGAATTGATAAGAAAAGAAGGTTAAATTGTTGTCTGGTATTGGCATGACATCTTAATTTTGAATTTCTCTACAATTTAGAAGTTCCATAAAAACATTATTGCCTATCACTGTGAAGATTTCAGTCTATATCAGTCATACATGATTGTGGGTTGTTTTCCTAGTTGGGTTGGGTGGTAGAACTATCTTCCTTTTTTTCTGTGTGTAAACAAGCTTATACTAGCTGGTTGTATTTGAACACAACCTGTGCTAGTACTGATGGGTGTTCAACTCCTAAGCAAAAGGTTGTGAACAGTTGTTGTGAAGTAGTACGGCTTTAGTATGAGTTCTAGCAGCCAAACCATTGATTGATAGCTTAAAAGTCATGCCTCCAATAAGTGAAGAAGCCCTCAATCTAGGAATGCCTTAAGTGAAGCATCTTCCGGAATACTAGTACTGCTCTTCATTTATTCATTGTAAGGTTCCTGTATAAGAAAATGCACCAGAATTCTCATAGTATAGTTTGACTTCTACAGCTATCACCTTGTGATATGGAAAGTCTATTATGCCTTTAGCATAAAAAGTTATGTAAGTTCTGAACTTCTCATTTGTTGTTTTGCGTGCCTACCTGCAGATAGGTTTGTTGCAACTTGAGGGCCAATGAACGAGCTTCATGTCTAAGTTGGAATTGTGAAGAGCTGCGTTGATGTTGAAAGTCATATGTGTTTATTTTAGCTGCAATAGCGATCGTAGCAGCAATTGCAATCATGATTTTATTAAGGCATGTTATTAGTACTTAATGTATTCACCTTGGATCCGACAATGTAGACTTTTATTAAATTGCTACTCTCGTGTTATTAGTCTATGTTGTATATTTGGAATTGTAGTAGCCTGGCTGGTATGCTTAAAAATAAGTCTTATTTCCTTGCTGGTATGCTTTCATCTTTGCTACACACTATTAAATAAAGGAAGGAAATGTGGGAGGGAAAGTTGCATGGAGAGTAAATAGGAGGGGCAGTAGGTGTTTTCATTGTTTTCCAATTAATTAAAGCGTGTATTACTAAGAATACTAACGTCAGGTTAATATGATGTTTACGGTAAGCCATTATATTTCAAAGCCATGATTATCTCTATGCTTACGGTAGTTATTTAGGATTATATTCGGGTGTATCATTGATAATAAAAGTTTAATGATGTGTGGCAAAGATATAAGTCAAAATCACAAGTTATCATTGATAAATTCCCATACTTATTTTATAAAAATTCTCTTTTGGGCCCCACCTTATACATTTTTTTAAAATTTGGTGAACATTCTAATGTTGCAACTAAATCGAAACGGAGGGATTAATAAACATATTTTAATACTAAAGGAAAATTTGAAAAATAGCACCATCAATACATCACATTTTAGAATTACCACCTCGAATGATTTATTTTTTTAAAAAAATTTATCACCTACAAAATCTCAAAACATCAAATTTACCACCACTACTTTGCCCAAACCTTCATTGACGACGTCATGTGGGGTCACCAACGAATTTTTCTGTTCTATTTCCCTCTTTTTTCCTCCCCTTCCCTCGATTCTCCCTCTCTGTTCTTCATTCTTCATAAAATTCTCTCTTAGTTTAGGTAAAACTTCCAATTAATGTGTAATAAGGGTTTTTGCAATCAATTTGGGATTTTAAAATCCTAATTACACATACTTTTTTTTTAAAGCAATTACACATACTTGAATGCAATAATTGGATTTTTCGCACAAATTCATAGAGAATATTAGGAAGAGTGATGAACAGAGAGTGTAAATCGGAGAATCGAGAGGGAAATAGAAAAGAAAACGCGTTGATGGGCCCCACATGACGTGAAGGTGGTACTCCCTCCGTGTTTTAAAAAGTGTTACACTTGCCTAATCCGATCGTGTTTTAACAATTGATATTTTGAAGATTTGAAGGTGGGTGGTAAATTTTAAAAAAAAATCATTGGGGGCGGTAATTCCTAAAAAGTGATGTATTGATAGTAGTAATTCCTACTGTATTCATATTTTGTATTTTTTAACTTGTTTGTAGTTTGTTTATTATTAAATGTTCATATTATTATAAGTGACTAATTGGGTTTGGGCGTGCATTTTTTACGGGCTTGGTCAAGCACTTTTCTTATGAGGAGATTAAGGCATCTTTTAGAAAGCTTGCTAAAGAAACGCACCCTGACCTCGTTTCTTCTGCGGATACTGATACTGCTGATTCGAAACGTTTCATCCAAATTCTCGCTGCTTATGAGGTGAGTACTATTTTGTCAATCATTATTGATTTCTTGCTGTAATATTATGTTGAATTAGTGTTAAATTTGATATTTTACAATTTCTAATTCTGCTAAGTTTTGTGTTATATATTGGTGAATTGGAGGTCGCATTGTTCAATAATTCTACTTCTTGTGAATTATGTTCAATTAATCAATCATCCATTGTTATTGACATTTGTATTAATGTTTGAATTAGTATATGGTATAAAGATATTGGGGTTACTAGTCTAGGTTTTGCAATGTCATGAAATTGAAATCGAATTGAATTTGTGGAATAAATTCATGGATAGATCTTTAAGTTTGTTGATATAAATTTTGGTTCAATTTTGGATTGTTTGTTTCGTTGTGCCCCAGTTAGATAAGAGGTACAGAAACTGAAAGCTGATTCTAGAAGTCGGTGGTATGGTATTGCTTAAACTGACTTAGAGAAATCCACTTCATTACCAGTTATATTGATTGTATCTCGTGTCTTTACTCTGCATTTTTAAGAATTTTGTAATATGCCTAGAATGTACTACATATTTCCACACTAATGTATATATGCTGTCCATCTGAGTATAGTTATTTGGGTCTTAGTATGAAGAGGAGACTATGATCTATTTTGATCAATGTCAAAGTAGATTTCCTTGATGTCTTTTTTTTGCTGCTTTATAGGAATAGTGTTTAAGATCAAGAAGTGCTGTGCATTGGATGACACAAGACATATATAAGCCTAAAATGTCACCAGTCCATGATTTTTCATAGCTCTGTTTTAAATGCCTTTTCTACATTATTATTAACTCTTTTCCTGAAATTTATATGGCAGGAAATTTTCAAGCTGTAAAGAAAGCTCTCTTGTCTGTTTCAAGTTGTCTCCAAGAGCACACCAAAGGTGACATGTTTGAAGTACCATGGTTGTACTTTTGTTAGTTACCTTTTCTTCTTCCCTCTTTGTGTCTCTCTTCCCCTAACACTGGTTGCAGTGACCAGGAGAAATGGTTTTTGAAGTCGAGTGTTTCATCTCAAAAAAAAGAAAAGGAAAAAAAAAACTCGAAAAATCGAGCGTGATAAATTGTGTAGCTAACATATTAAAAAGCTTTGGATTGTTAAAAAATTATGCTTATCTTAATTTTATGTTTATTGGCCGTAATTTCTCTCTGCTTTTTTTTTTTTTTTTCTAACACTAGCTTTTCTAATTGAATTGAATTAAGCTCTTTGTTTGATTTGATTGCAGGAAGTGGTGAAAGTATGACTGACAAGCTAAGGTTCTTTCTGATCCAATTCGATCCCAATTCTCTTGATTTTGTTATAGACTAAATCATCAGGCTTGTATTTCTGATTTAACAAGGCTAATAAATAAAGATGAAAGCTTAAAATTTGATTAATAATGGCTAATAACGTTACAAAGAGATAGGTTAATAGCTCTAGGTCATCACTCTCTTTGATAACATTAGGGTATTACTCTCTTAGTAACTTGAGGTTACCATTCTCTCAACAATTTTCCTCACAATTCACATAATTTCTACTGGCTTCTTACTACTACTTATATACTCAAGCTACCAATTACAAAAGGTTAACCTAACATTGATTGGTGTTTGTCTTCTTCAGCACATTAGCAATTCATAAATCACACCCATGTTGCCACTTTCTTAAGTGTTTCCTTAATGACCCTTGTCTTCATGTGCTGAAGAGTAGCAGTTGCCAACTGCTGTGGTTGATTCTTGTCCCCTCTTCCACTTTACTTCCTTGTGTACACCCACAATGGTGGCTTGGTGGAGGTGGGTAACAGGTCTATAACATATTTTCTCCACTTATAATATAGATTAAGCTCATTAACTTGTAATGTATTTTCTCTCTTTCAATTTTGTTGTGCTTAAATAAGATGTAAAAATTCTCATTTCTGAAAAATTATGCCTTTTTCTTTCCTGGGTCTTTGCTCAAACTCATTAATTAAGATGTTTGTTTTTTTAATCATAGAATAATAATACCTCAAATAGTGTTTAATCATGAATCTAATTAGGATTCTTATTGGACTTAGATTTGAAGATCAATATCCTAGATGGTTTATCAGGTTTGTTTGGAATTTTGAGCAAATTAGGTATACTCTTTATACAGACCTCAAAATGAAATTCAATCAATCGAAAAAAATAAAAATTCCGAGATTCTGGGGTATACATGGTAGCGGAGCTGCAACAATTCCAGCAACTCGTAATTGCTGTCGATGTCCCTTGCTCACCAACCTCATACACCTTGAAGTTTCTACTCAAGATGTATATATAAAATGTGATCAACATTTTTTTGGTAACCTCCATCTCAAGATGATGTTTACTTTATAGCCAGACTAGCAAATTTTTTTTTTTTTCAGTCAATGAAATGCAGTGAGAGAGACTATCACACTGTGCTGTACTGTGCTGATCTTATTATTTCAAAAATTGTTAAAGAAAGAATTGAAGCAACATCTTGTGCCTTATAGTTTTCTTATTTGTATCTACAGGTGTGAGGATTGTAATCATTTTCTGGAATTTGGAGATAGCGGAAGCTATTAGAAAGCTTGGGCCTGAGGCCTGACTATTCTTAAAGGCACGGCGGACAATCACAGAGACAAGAATATGAATGTATTTTGTGGTTAAGGCAAATTCAGAATTGTTTTGAGATCTCTATATTGAACCTTTATATATAAAGTACTACCACTTATATATTACTTGTATTTATTAATTAGTGTAAATATCTTACATCCAAGGGAAAAGGAGGGAAGTAGGGAGAGGAAGGGAATGGGGGGGGGGGGGGGGGAATGGGGGTGGCAGGGGGAAGGGGTAGCAGAGGGGAGGGGGAGGGGGTGGGTGAGGAAGAGAGTATAAAAGGCAAAACTTGCTGGACTGTGCTTAGGAACAGTGTTTGTGGTTTCTATTACAGAAATGAAATGTTCTCAGCTTTATTACCCTTGAACTCTTTCTTACTCCTCAGCTGGTCAGCCCTTACCTTTCTCCTTCAATCTCTCTCTCTCTCCTCAGAGAAAGTTCGGAGGTTTTAGGGTAGTCACTCATCCAGTCATCCTAGAGAACGCCTCCCTACGACGGTTGTTTGGGCCACCCCTTTCATTGGCTGCGACAGAAAGGCGGTTTTTTTTTATTCAATTTGTTATAATATTTTTATGGTTCACTGGAGTTTTTGCTTTGTATGCGTGTTTGTTGATCTTGTTTTTTCGAATTTGATACAGAAATTGAGCTGTATAGACCTTGATCGGGTACAATTTGGTGTTACCTTTGAAGATATCAAACCCAAATCAGGTATGTTCTTCTGCAATCAATCGTATTTAACTGTTTCCTATTTATTTGCCTTACTTTTTTTCCCTTTGTTTCGATCTTATACGGCCTTTTGACAGTTTCTTTCTGTAATTTTACTTTGGTTTTCTGAATTTTGGTACGTTTTTTAAATGATCGGTTTGAATTTTGAATTTCATCTTTGCTTGTTGGACCACCAACACTGTGATATGATGTCTCTTTGGTAAAAAAGATTTGATCTGGTAAACTATACTTCTTGGCAATTTAAGGTAGTAACATAGGATACAAAAGGTTATGAAAATAAACCCTTGATGGGCATTTGAGTGTTGTAGAAAATATTGAAAGTTATAACACCATGGGTATTGAGTGTTGTAGAAAAATCTTTAATCTAATCATCCTCAAATTCTTTTAATTTTATGTCTCGACAGCAACACATCATCGACAACCGCAACAATGGAAAGAGGACAAAGCAACGGTGGCTGACCTGTGGGCGCGATCAGGAGGAGCCGCAACAACGTCTAAGAAAAAGACGGAACAAGGACAGTGAATATGAAAGCAAGAAATACAACACCTTAAATTGTGAGACATGTTTTCTCCTTTTCTTTCCCTCAAATTTAAGTGGCCTTTTTGTTATCTAAAAATCAATTTAATTTTACTATTATTTTAATTGTGATTTTTCTCCTGTACTTTATTAAGTTTATTATGGGGTTTTTTTCTTAAAAAAAAAAAAAAACAAAAAAGAATTTGTGGGTTTGTGCTGAAATTGTGAGTATTGCTGAGTGAAAATTGGAAATTATGGAGTAGCAATTTTAATGAAGATAGTTTGGTTGTTTGTTATTATTTTGAGTCGGTTTAATTGATAGTTGGTCTTTTAACGAACTTTATTTGTTGATCTTGTGTTTGATTATTTTATTACTGTACCATCTTGGCTACAACTTGGTCTATTATTTGGTTTGCAGAAATAAGCTCCTGTTTGAAGGAATATCGCTGAATATGGGTATTATTGCTGCTAGTTTTTTGAAGCTTGTTTGTGATTACTCGCTGTATGAGACTAGAGTATTCAATACCCACTTGAAAAAGATGCTACATGGAGCTGCCCACCTGAAGGTATAATTAAAATAAATGTTGACGCTCACTTTGGTGCTGGCACAAGTGGTGGTCTAGGTGCTGTTGCGAGGGATCACTTTGGCCGCATATTATGGGCTGCGGATAAGAAGACTCCTATGGACTGGAATGTGGAATTGGCGGAGGTGGCTGCTGTTAGGGTGTCAAATGGCTAAGAGATTGGGTTACGAAAGTGTATGATCAGGAGTCAAAAGGGAGTAGGGGAAGGGTAATCAACACCATTAGAGGGTCTGCTGCTAGATGGTCTCCTATAAGGCTTATTTACGATGATGTACGTAGAATAGTTATGTCTTTTAATACTTGTATATTTTCTCATGTAAAAAGAGCATATAATTAATTATACGGTTGCCCATTTAGTGGCTAGGTGGGACACTAGTAAGTGCTCCGAGAAAGTTTGTATGGGTTCTTTCCCCTAAGGTCTTCTATCCTTCGCAGAACTTGACTTAAATTAATGAAATGCTCTAAGTCAGTGCTTGGTACTTGACCAGTGTCGAACTAGATGGTGATTCTCAAATTACTATATTAAACATACAGCAAATTAGATATACATGCCATTAGAGCAGTTAAAACAATGTTGTTTCTAGTTTCAGCATCAGATTAAGTAGAACTTCTGTTTAATACATAGTACATAACAAGCATTCAAAAGTTTCTAATTTGGGAGGTTACAAATTCTAGATAGAATTAGAGTTGATCTTGCTCTAATTGTGACAATCTGACTAAATTGTGACATGGGTTCATCATTTTTGTTTAATTAAGAAAAAAGCTGATAAAATTGCAAGAATTTCAACTTGTAGTGGGTTAACACAACAACAGATGTGGGAGACTATCTTTAAGACCCAATCTCCAGATTGGTCCCTGCATATAGAGGCTAAACCCACAAATAGAGAGGAGAAAGGATGGATTCTCCATTTATTTGTTGTACATTAACCTTTTAATTTAATCGCAGAGTACATAGTATGGGGTATTAGTTTTTCGTTTTGTAGATAAAAAAAATGAGAAATAGAAATTCCTTAAAATTGTAATTAGGGGGAGTTGTTTGATTGAAAAAAAAACGAAGAGGAAATGACATAAGTGAAAAAAAATTACAAAAGGTAGGAATTCAATTACCTAATCCCTTAGGTAGATAGAATTTTTCATGAAAAATTACTTCTCACATCGATAACCAAATAACTTTATAAAGACTTTACGATCATATGCAATTCCAACATTGGCGGAATGAAATAAGCATTTTTTTTTTTTTTTTTTTTTTTTTTTGTAAAAGAAACAAATTTAAGAAAATGATGAAAATGATATGAGCTGTTTGGTTGTACTTGTTTAATATAGGCAAGAGAAATTCCTATAAAATGCTTAGATATCTTGTTGCTTGTTTAGCATGAAATATACTCCGTACAAATAGGCTAATTGTAACTTTTTGGAAATTTTGAGGTCCTACCAATCATAGGAAGTTAATTACTCCACCCCCCCTTTTTTAATAGTAATTACTTTGTACCTAACTTACCCTAAGTCATTCACAATTTACAAAAAATGCAAATTATCATATGTCAACCAAACAAGTTTATCAAATTCTTATGAAATAAAATATATGAAAGAAATTATTTCTTAAGAAATATAAATTACCATCAAATTCTTATAAAATAAAATATATGAAAGAAATTATTTCTTAAGAAATGTAAATTAGCATGATTATTTAATTTCCAACGCAACCAAACAAGCACTATATGTAGCTAGGGCTGGCAATCATGTCGTGTCTGTTTGTGTCGGAAATTAAACAAGTTGAGGACGTGTTAATCTGATTGATTAAAAGTGTTGAATACATTTAACACTAACTCACTTTTTCGTGTCCGGTTCGTATCGTGTTGTATGAAAAATATTAGCCTTATTCTATATAATATATCAATAATTATATAAATTATAGGGTTTTTATATTAGATGGGTTGAGTCGGGTTAACGTATTGTTAGAGAATATCAATACTGATCTGTTTTAATTAAATGTGTCATATCATGTTGACCCGTTTAATTACATGTATTAAAAACCCTTAACAATAATCATTTTTTTTCTTATTTAATTCATGTCGTGTCAACTTTTATCAATTGTATATGTAATTTTAAAACACGTATACTTACCAAAAAATAAATTGATGTTTAAATACACATACTCCATAGACAAATATAAAAGAAAGAGAAAAAAAAAAACATGTTACGGAGTATTACGTAGTCCTCCACAGTACAATTATAATTATGTGAAACGACTAGTCACTAGAGTTCATGGGCAGTGGACGAACTGACAATGGTGGTAATATTGGGCTATTGGCGTTGTAATTTCTGCTGCCCAACTCTCTCCATCATTTCATAGGTTTTACTTCTTCGGTTCTTCCTACAATCCTACCAATTCTACATGTTAAAACTCCATTTCCACAAAAAAGAAAAAAAAAAAACCTCCATTTTCATGAAAACTCTGTCTTCTTCTTTTATTTTTCTTTGCCATTTTTAGTAGTCAAATTTCAAAACCTTTTTCTCTCTCCTCATTTGGGTCATCATATTTTTCTTGTGAGGTAATTTCTTTCTTTTTTGTTGTTTCTAAGTTTAATGAGCTTGTTTTTGTTAGTATGGTGTATGTCTGTATGATATGTGTTTTTTTTTTTTTTTAATTTGTGGGTTGCTTTTATTTGCTTCATATTCTCTCATTCTAGGGTTTTTGAGTTTGATCAAGTTGATTTTACATGGTAAAATATCTTATTTTGTATTTCTCTGGAATTTCGTTCATCTACTGTTGCTTTATACTCCGTATTGTTTAAATAAGGTTTTTTTTTTTTCCTCTGTTCTGGGTTTATGAAGAACATGCGGGGGTTTTCTGGTTTGAACTTGATATTTGCCTTTTATGCTCTGGTTACCCACTTACCCTGTTGATCTTGATGTAGATAATTTGTGAAACTTGTCATATTTTGGTTTTGAAATTTGAGTAATGTGTGAATTTGCCGTATTTTTGGTTTTAAACGTTGAGTAGTTTGTTATTCTGATTCTTAATATTGTTTAAATAAGGTTGTTTTTTTTTTCCTCTGTTTTGGGTTTTGAAGAACATGCGGGGGTTTTCTGGTTTGAGCTTGATATTTGCCTTTTATGCTTTGGTTACCCACTTACCCTGTTGATCTTGATGTAGATAATTTGTGAAACTTGCCATATTTTGGTTTTGAAATTTGAGTAATTTGTGAAACTTGCCGTTTTTTTGGTTTTAAACGTTGAATAAAAACTTGCCGATTTGTGAAATTTGCCGTTTTTTGGTTTGTGAAACTTGCCATATTTGAAGGCTCTGATTTTTTGGGTATATATGGAGTATAAATTTATTTACTCTTTTTTTTTGACGAAAAACGCATCTTAGCTCAATTTATTATTTCACCAAGTTTTCAATATCGTGACATAAAGCCCCCTGAATTTCAGTTGGGTACTCTTCAAGCCAAACACGATATTCACTAAAATTGAAACTCAACTTTGCTAAGCTATGGGCAACAATATTACCCGACCTTCTAACAAAAGAAAAAACACAACTCTGACAGCTTCTAGCAAGCATCAGAATATCCCTCACCAAATTGCCAAAAGAGCAAGGAGATATGGAGCCCTTTTTCAGATGGTGGAACAACTTAATGTTATCAGTTTCCAGGATAAAGTTCCTAAAGCCCGCTTCCATGGCTATCTTTAGGCTGGATCTCATACCAATCACTTCACCAACAGCAACATCTACCTTCCCATTCTCTTTCGAACAAAAGGCTACCACAGCAGTCCCCTCCTCATTTCTCAATATCCCACCAATTCCCAGCCACTGACCTTGGAAGGCTGCGTCTGTGTTTAGCTTATACAGACCAGCAGCAGGAGGCTTCCATCTAGAGCTGAAATACTGCACTTGCATCCCCATATCAGCATTCGCATTAGCTTCTTCAAACTCTCCCACCAAGCACATTGTCTTGTAAAGAATGTCAGCCTCCCTCTTCTCTCTTTTATCAAAGACCCATGCATTGCGTTTCAACCAGATTCCCCACGCCAGGCACCAAATATCCCACCAATTCGTCTCCTTGATCTTTCCATACATCAGATTGCATCAACCTCGAAACCCATCAGCATCAAATGCCCTTGTGTCAAGCCGCAAGGCAGAATGTCTCCAAATAGAGGATGCTGCAGGCAGAAGAGAAGCGTATGAGCAGTAGTTTCCTCTCCCTCCCCACACATAGGGCAACGTTGATCTACATTCATACCCCTAGCCATCAACCGGCTCATAACAGGCAGCCCCTCCCTCACACTTCTCCACACAAATAATTTGATCTTTGGTGGAATACGGGCATGCCAAATACTCTTCCAATTAAAAACTACATGCCCATTTGACGAGGTTGCCTTATCCTTTACCTCTTCTTCGACCAAGAGGTTGTAAGCACTCTTTACGCTGTAACGCCCATCTTTCGAGTGATGCCATGACCAAACATCTTCCTCATCAAACAGAGGTACTGGAATACTACAAATTCCATCAATTTCCCGCTGAGAGAATAACTCAGAGAGAGTAGTCCAATTCCAGCTCTGATTTTCCCACAGATCTTTGACATACATTGGAACATCACTACCATCCTTCATTTGTGACAGAATTCGGAACTTTAGGAGATTAGGCACCGACACTACTTCCCCCACCAATAGTCTTTATGGCACCCTTCTCAATTACCTCCCTAGCACTTAGAATCGATCTCCACGTGAAGCTCATGTTTGGGACAGCATAAATTTATTTACTCTTGGATGTCTTGCCTTTTTGCTTATAAAGGTTGAAATAATGTTATTGTTGTATGTGAGTGTTGCTGACATTACATGTAGAAAAGGTTGAAATAATGTTATTGTTAACGAAGTAGTATTGTTGCTTGAATGTTAGTAACTTATTACTTCTGCTATAATTTTGTTGTCTAGTTGCTGCTATATTCTATTATTCTGTTTACCTGCTGCTGAAATTGTTGTTGCCTGTTATATAATCCTGCTGCTGCCTGTTGTATTGCTACTGCTTTTATTTTGCAATTGCCCTGCAGCTGCAGTTCTGTTCGTCCCATAATAATAGACCTGCAGACGTTTCTAGCCCATAGTTCCTTCATGAAAGTTGTAGATCTTGAAAAGTTATTCAATCTAGGCTCAAGAATTTCTTGATTTGGAATTGTGTGCTAGGTTTCATGCCTTCTTGAAATTCCTGTGGTCTGCTGTCTTGGTTCTATCTCAGCGGGGCTGCTGTTGATCACTTGATCCCTGTGTGGTGTTGTTAATATAAAAGATTGTTCTTCCTATGTCTTGTTTGAGTTATATGGGCTGATTTAGTCATGTTAGTGTTGTAGTAGCTTTCATAACTTGAGTTTAGTTAAGAGTGGTAAAGCGATGTCAATTTTTTAGCTTCTTATCAATGACTTGCCTTGTAATCAGAGTGAAGAAAATGACTCAAGGTGCTACAAAGAAGAAACGGCAGCAAAAGAAAAAGAATTCAAAGGATAAAATTTCAGAGGATGAAATAACAAAGAAGATTTCAGCTTTGTGGGAGCAAGAAAGATTACAAGAGTGCTTGGATTTTATCATTTCTCTTGATGATGAGTGGTTGAAAAATTTAAAAGTCTATTCTATGAAAGTGCATGCACTTGTAGGTTTGAAACGGTTTGAAGGTAAGTTTATTTTCCTCCAATGAAATGGTTTGATGTAGTATGGTCTATTGTTTGCTTTAATTCTTATTTTCTACTAGGATCGGTAAGATTTGGAAAGCTTTTGATTATTTTCTTTTTACAAGTGAGTGGCTTTAAGGCTTAGGGAAAGAAAGCTTGGAAAAGATAAATACAACATTTTCAGTTTCCTAAGGAAACAATAGAGAAATGCAAGCGAATATTAATCTTGAAATATACAACTTGAGAGATAAAGAAAGCTAACAAATATTGACTAGGTTAAACTGTTTAAATCAAGACTTATCCAGAAATTTGGAAAGCATATTTGTGTTATTTGTATTGTAAATTTGTATTATTTTGTACTTCATTTATCTTAATGTTTTCATTTAATTTTGTATGATCAGAGGTATTGGCTTTGCAAAAACGACTCGAAGAATTTGGACATAAAACGACTTTGGCACTTGGTGAATGGTTTATGTTTGCGTAAGTCTATTATCTTCCTTTCTAAGGATTTTTGATAAATTATCAGGATGATGTAACTGTTACAAGATATTTATTTGAATTGATTCTATACAGACAATACAGTAGACAATAGTTAGTCATCTTTAATCACGTTGACATTAATTAAATTTTTTAAAATGCCTTGCAGTTATGCTAACAGAAAGCAAAATAATATTTTGGAAGCATATCTCCTTTATAAATATGTGCATGATCAGAAGGGTGCAGTCTGTGTAGATGATGAAGCATTCAAAAACTGTCTCAAATGGATAAAAAGACTACAACCGAAAGTTCAACCAGATTTGGATAGAATTGCAGTGGAAAGAGCTAGTAAATTTTTGGATGATGAGCGTGCTGCCTCCTCTTCCACCAAGGCTCCTGCCTCCTCTTCCACCAAGGCTGCGACCTCTTCCACTCAAGGCTGCATCCACCCGACCAAGGCTGCATCCACTCCGACCAAGGCTGCATCCACTTCGACCTTGGTTGCGTCCGCTTCGACTTTGGCGATCCCTTCTTTGACCTTGGATCCCTCATCTTTGGGTGTGGATGCCTCTTCCCAAAAAATGATGAAGGTAATCTCTTCTCAACTTTTCGTTAATTTTATGATTTTTTTTATTTGGAAAGAACAAAAAATATTATTAGGTCACTGATTAGCCATTACATTCAAGACCTAAGCGTAACAAACACTAAGAGTTAAAAGACTACATGTTTAAATACAGTTCTCAACCATTTAACATCATTAGCTCATCACTACTAGTTCCTGGAAGAAATCTGTAAATTCTATAATGCATATTTTGTTTCGGAGGACTAGTTACATGTGTATGATCATCATGATGAAAAGTCTACATAGCTTTGTTTCTTTGCTGCCAAATATAGTATACTAAACCAGCGAGACATCTTTAATATATCAATTTGAAATAAGCTATCTGTTACAATCTTCAACATAAGCAAAGTTAGTAGAGATTTTAAGCCATTTTCTATAGAACAGTAAAACAATAATGATTGCAAGAGCAGTTAAAGAACATATGTTGTCTAGATTCAGTGTTATTGCACAAGGATCAAGAGTTGTCTAGAACAATATGTATCGTTTTATTTGTTAAACATTTTTCTCTATTCTGTATTGATAAATATATATTTACAGTTTACAGAGGATGGTGTGATATACTTTGAAATGACCCAGCTTGATGAATTTTCATATCTTGGTGTAATGAAGATAGGCGGGAGTTCTTTTCCCAAGTCGTATATCAAAATTGGCGAGAATTCTACTTCAGATGTCTCAATTAGGCTTAAGAAAAACTCATGCCTATTGAAAATTGAATTTTCAATGTATTTCCACTCCCTTTCCAGTAGGGTAGCAATTGTTGAGCCGGTCCGTCCAGTAAAAGTGTTCTTTGAATTGAAGCTTGAAGATTTCAAATCGGAAGCAATGGCTCAAACTTGTAAAAAATGGTGGGAATATATCAAAGACGACTTTCTATCAATATTTCGGTAAAAAAATTTACTTTGTTAATTTATTATATTTTTATTTTATGAATGAAATTTAATAATATATTATTGTATTGTAGAGGCGTAATATGTGGCATGCTTGTCATATATTCAGATCAAAAAGTCTGTAGTGATCTGGAAAAATCACTCTACGTTACTGAGGAGGGAGAAGCCAAAATATTGCATATTTCTCAAGAAAAATTTACATTCAGTCAAGCGCAAAAAGAAGTGTCTGATTTGTTGTCCATTATTGAAGGAGTCATTACTTTGATAAGACCAAGATCAAGACCAGATTTGGAAACTTGGCGTAAAGAATTTGAGCTATCTTATGAACTGCCTTTAGAATTAGGTCATTTTTTAAACAGCTTAAGAGTCAGGAAAATGTAAGTAAATTTCCCTTAAATCTGTTTTTATATTCTTTTTATTCATTATAAGTTCAGTTTTATGCTAATATTATACTTTGTATATTTTGTTTATGTAACTATTAAAAAGCTTGTTATCTGCAACTGTACATTACTTATAAAGTTTTTTTTTTTTTTTAATAAATAGGTATACTTGTATGATTAAAAATTTTATGTTTTATTTCTAACAGATGTGATAACATTCATCCAATGTTGTTGATTGATCACCCGTTTATCTGGTCGATAAATCATCGGGTTTCATTCATCCAGTCTCTTGAAGTGGCTATTAAAGAAAGGTTAATCAATGAGAAGGCTTTCAATAATGAAATGACTCCGAATTTTAGGACTCAAAATTGGAGGATTGAAGTCTCAAATGACTTGTTATTGTCAGCAACTTTTATGTTAAACCATTTCGTGTCATTAATTTTATTCATGCAGTGTTTTCCCATGCTAATGACTATCAATATGATACTATACGCGGGAAAAAGGTAATGACTTTCTTTCTATTTTATTTACGAAAATATTAATTAATTATTGCATGCTGCTAATTTTTTTATCTTTATCTTTTTATAGGGTGGTTTGACTCTTGAGGAAAGAGAAAGTCTAATTACAAAAGTGTTTCCTTCAATATATACAACACTTTATGACGCCCTGTGTGATTATGCAAAAAATTCTAGTTGGTAAGAATTTAATATTTTGTTATTTCTAATGTACATCTTTTATGTTGTTTAAAATTTTTGTTTAACACTTTTTTAATTTAACAGGGGATATACAGAGTCATTTTCAGATGTTCTTAAAAGATTTTCAAGTTGTGGATCTCAATATTGATTTCCTGTTCCTGGTAAGCATTTGATATCGATTTGGGGGCTATTTTGGTGTGGTGTTTTCGGGTTGTTTTAGGTTACATTGTGTGTGAATAGTGTTTGAGGTGTGTGGGCAAAGGGTTCGTATTATTGCTTGTGTGTCTTGACGATGTGAGTATGTGATAGGTGTTGCACACGTGATGGTTGTTGAGTGGTATTGTGTATGTGATGGGTGTAGAGTGTGTTTTTGGTATTGGGTATTAAGCATGTCATTTATGAGTTAATTTGTATGTTTGGAATTTTTGATACTCCTTGTTACATGAGTTGTAGTGGACTAGAAGTGCGTAATTTGGCATTATTTCTTTGGTTTATTGGTGGTGATGGGTAATTGAACTTTTGGACTAGGCGTACTTTTGCGGAATATGCAACAAACTACTGTGAAAAGGCATTGTAAATAACTGTTAATTGACACATAGATTAAACTAAATGTCTTTACACATACATTATGTTGTATGATTCTTATAACATTTAATATTTTCTTTCTAATTCCTTTTGGAAGTCTCGTATAATAATTACATTCATTGTCATTGCTGAAACTAAAAGGTTGGACAACTATCGGTACATCACTTGTTACTTATTCCTTTTCTTGTTTCCTGTTTCAGTTGATATTTTTTCTCTTTGTAGTTGCGTCATTTCTTGAAAAATCTCATAATCTTATTCTGAATTTTCACTCCATGTTCTCATCTCTATGAAACGTCCATCAAATTATTTTGTTATGTACAGGTTTAAAATAAAATTATGCATACGGAGTACTGGATTTATGTCTATGAGTCTGCATTCAACTCTCTGCGTGTAGATTAGTTTTTGCAGAAAAGTTTCCCAATTGATGTGTTATGTCTTATTGTATTGTATTTTACTATTGTTTATGAGTACTAAGATTCATGTCTCTGAGTTTGTGTTCCAACTCTCTGGGTGTAGATTAGTCTTTGCAGAAAAGTCAATGCAGGTTGATGTTATTGATGTATTTTGTCTAATTGTAGTTGGAGTATTATGGCTATTGCTTCACTGATGTTCTGTTGGCAAAAAAATCTGTCAAAATTGTAGAATGTAGTGGGCATTGGGGGTCAATGTGAGGCAGAGAAATGTATGAACCTATGTGTGTATCCTCAGCTTCAGCTAAGCCTTCTAGATAATATAACACAACTCCCTCATCGAATCTTGTTAGCAGCTATTCATATTTTGTAAACATGATTAACTTGATAGATTTTAAGATATGCTATATAATTACTCTCTGTATCAAGGATAGACTTTAGCAATCAAACATACAAGTAGTTAATATCACCTAAATACAATGAACTACCAATTTAATATCAGATGTCGTTCTTGCTTGCTGTCTTACAATGTAAAGATATATTTTTGTTATACATAAGTTTGTTATAGATATATTTCCGTTATTATCTGATTATTTTCTTATCATGTATACAATTACGCAGTTTGCAGGTAGGTGAAGGGGGTCGATAAATGAATTGATCCACTAGATGCATACCCTCTGATGTCTGCAACACTAGTAGCAAGCCTGATTTATTTTTTGGTTCAGACAGATCATTTGTGTTGCTTGAGATTTAAGTATAGAGCTGACTTTTTCTTATGTGAGCTAAGCTACTTCTGGAGAAGTTAAACATGGAACTACTGTTGTTTACGCATGGGGTTTTTATTCTCAAAAGAAATATGTCTGTAAAATTGTACCTGAATTTTCTATCCCGGATCAATGTGCAGCAAGTTGAGACCTTAAAATTTATGCTTCTAAAACATATCTGTTAATTTTATGCTAAAGCTTGACTCATTGAGCTTCCTACTTATGCACTCAATTTGACAATAATAATGCTAGCAACAATCTACTTTTTCTACTTCTAGTATATGAAATTAAAAGAGGTTCCCTGTATGTTCATTTTATGCTTCAATGATGCACATATACTTTGACTTTTGTAAAATAACGTCAACAATGTTCATATACTATCCTAAACAATCTTGATAAGAAGCAGAGAATAAAAGCATTCTCGCCCTATTAATGGCCTACTTTACTTTTGCACTGACCTGTCCTAATTATTAATACCTACACCCTAGTGTAGGGCCGTACTAATACCTACACCCTACGAAGATGTCATTGTGATGCACTTGCTTGTGCAGCATTGTGAGGCCTTTAGACTTCCTCGTTGGTATGGTAGCCCAATAAAACCAAGTTTTCAGACTTTAGACGAAAAAGAATAAATTTTCGAGGACTTTATGCGTAATGCTCGCTGCGTTTGGCAGATATTTTGGACACAAATTCCTGTTTCTCTCACATGGACTTCCTAATGTTTTTTTCTTATAAATTAAGGAATGAAAATGACACAATCAAGAGAGAAAACTAGCATGATATTTCAGAACTTTTAATGGTCACAGTTGGGATTCAAAGAATAAAAGTTCTAAGATAAACTACATTAATATTTGCAGACAAGATACTTAAAAAAAAAAACTATAGCTTATCCCATCTGTGGTTCGTCTTTATATAATTATATAATGGGATTCATCATCAACCCAAAAATTTTGAATCCTACCAATTTACAAGGTGCAGTTTGGAATTCAGTCTCCAAAAGTCATCACAGTCAATCACTTCATATATCAAACCCCTTGAGAAAATCTGCAATACCCGTAAACAATGATAGTATAAGAGTAAACTTCTCATTTTTCTATCGCGCCTTTGATTATCCCCATCTTTACAAATGTCAAACAAGAACTTTGATAGTGAAGCAAACCGCGGAAGATGGAGGAGCATATCCCCAAAAGATCAATTATTGGCATGCTTGGTGTCTGATTGCCGCCATCTCCCCAGCTGTAGTTGTCACCCTCATTAGTTGTATTCTGATCCAATAACTAAGGTTCATGGTTATTGGCTTTTCCATCCACACTTTCTTCAGTCACATCAGAACTCTGAACAGAAGCACCATCTTTCTGAATGAGGGAGTACCAAGAGTTGACCTTTGAGTCTCTAACATGAGGAATTTTCATCAGAACATGGTCGGGTGCTGGGTAAATTCCTCGATCGTTTATTTTGGGACTTGGATCCTTCTTATGTGAATTTAGAAACCTCAGAACTCCTCTGTTTCGTAAGGCAAATTTCCAATATGATTCACAGGGTCACTCATGCATAATTCACTGTTCAACGCTTTTTAATTCCTTTGGTTTTCCTGATTGGCTACTCGAACTAACTTTCATTACGCACACATCCATCACTAAAATGAATACTTGGTGATCAGAAGGAAATTTAACAAATGTAAAATTAAAAGCCAATGTCCAAGATTATTGATGACCATTGATATCATAAACATGATGAATTATATCTCAACACCAGGGCACCTAGGTAGCTAGCAAGTGAATGCTGAGGCTGAGATAGACTGAGACATAAAATAGTTCTGCCTTCCAAAATTTAAAACAAAGGATTCTTAAGATAATGAACATTTAAAGAGGAAGCATGGCCATATATTGCTCACCAGATATACATCTAGAGGTGGGAAATGGGTTGTTCAGACGTGGTACAATTCAGGCCATGTCAAGTCATGTTTGGGTATGTTCAACTGAATCAGGTCAGTTTGGGCCAAATCATATTTAATTCTATTGCCAACAATCTTACTATGTTAAATAAAACGTATTAGACATATTAAGTGTCGGCAGTCACCCCCTACGGCCCTACACCCTACCCCATTAAAGCATAGGATTTTTATGGTAATGAACATTTATAAAACAAGAAGCATGACCACAAATTGCTTTAGAGGTGGCAAAGAGGTTTTTTTGGTTGGTACAAAATTCAGGTCATGATAGGGTATGCTTCAGGTCGGTTCAGGCCAAATCATATTTGATATTATTGCTAGTAAACTTATATGAAAGTAATCGTAATAGACATACTAAGTCTCGGCATCCTCCAATCCTCCCCCCCCCCCGGAAAAAATATAAAATATATAAAAATCTCTTCTGGTATGATATATTGACAGATCCTACAATAAATTCAACATAAGGATGTACAAAGAAAAACAGAAATTAAGAAAATTGAGAATCCATGCCAAATTTCTCTCCAGAAGTCTACAAACACAACAACATCAATGGTCTAAATATATTGTGAGGATTTTTGAGAAGTAGCTTCACAAGACAGAGTCTCAGATGTTCCATAACTTGTTTGACTGAGAGAGATTTATTAGGATAAAGGTATTCCACATCTCAAAAAGATTGAGATGCTAGGTCCTCTTAATATTAGGGGATTCATTTGAGTCGTCAAAAACAGAAGCTGCAAATCGAAGTTTGGAGATCTAGACTTATTAATTTGGTTACCGGCTCAGAAAATTAAGATGCATATCACACTGTGTCAATTTCTCAAAATGCTTGTTTAATAGACCATAGGCACCAGAAGGAAATGCTTCTGTAAAATTAGTATAAAAAATATAGATTTTAATATTAGCCAAAAAAAGTTAAGCCTTAAAATTACACAATTTTAAGAAACGCAGTGCATGTAGAAAAACTTTATTTAATGCCAAAAATTTCAGGATCCGCCCGTACAAACACTTCCTATCTAGCAAGGAGTTAAGCCTACTACAATTTTATTATATCTCTCCCATTAACCCCAGTACCCCACAACCCACTTGTACAAATGTTATTAATTCTCTCTCCTATTGTTATTATAAGGAAATTTTGACTTTTGGTACCACAATGGTATTCATTTTTGCCGCTCATATTTTTTTTTATTTTACTACCACTAAAAATCACATATTTTAAAATTCGCTACCAGTTGACGGAAGCTGTTAGTTTTGCCGTTTGTGGGCCCCACTTCACCCCTACCCCTCTCTCTCCTCCTTCCCCAGCCACCAATCCCTTCCCCTTCCAATCCCTAAACCCCAGCTCCCAAAACGAGCCCAGCATCATTTATATACAATCCGTCCTTCCCTCCCAATAAAATATAGGGAGCATTTCATTTAACTAAGTCCAACCAAACATTTTTCAATTTTAAGTAAGATGAAATTATAAGTTTCCCATTACTCTAAATTACACCCTTATAATCAAAGGGCATTAAGAACATAACGCCACAGGTCACAGGACGAGGCAGTTCTATGTTAATTGCTCATTAGACTTTTTAAATAAGCATCTGAGAAAAATATAGCATTGGTTGTAATGGATACTTGGATGAGATTAAGACAACTTATAATGGAAAGTGATATAGCTCAATTCAAACTCAGATCTCTTGATTGAAAAAATTCCAATCAGTAATTCAGTATTGATTGGCTCTATCTCCCTTCTTTCTTGAGATCTTCATAGGCCTTCTTTAAAGCCCCCAACTCCATTTGCGCCTTCCCCCATCAACTACTAAAACCAGAGATCATGAAATCATGGTACTGTCTAAAAATCATTAAGCTGATGGCACACAAGCTGCAATGTTGAGTTAAATGGAAATTGTCAGTGCCTTGAACTCGATTACCATATCCCTCATATCTCATATGAACATCATCAGTCATAGAGCATAAAGACACAGAAACATTTGATGGCCTTGGCCAAAGCATTGCTAAAATGGTTTCTTTAACAGAGAGTTACCAGCTTCCTTGAGGGATACTGCATATTCCATAGCCTCCGATCCATTGGACTACTGGTTTTCTCAAACATTTCCTCAACATCACAGTCATCCTCCCCTAAATGATGCAAAACAATAGATTCCACACTTGAGTCTTCCCCTAAACCCATTCCCAAATAAAAAAACAGAACAAGAACAAAACTAGATAAAACAAACAAAAGACCATTGGAAATCCTGCCTTTGTTTTTTTTTTTTTTTTTCTTTTTAATATTAGACCACTTGCCTTTTCGAGAAGTTTCACAAATATTGTACCATTTTCATTTTTCGACAAATTTTTTTGTGTTCATAGTACAAATAACTAACACACCCATATTTTTTCACACTTATTCTTTAGTTTATGTTTATCACATGGGCAATTTTGTATTATTATGTTTCTCTCTCTTCTTTATCCCCACTACCATAATTATTGCAGATTGGCAAATGTGGCAATATGACCCCTAACTTAGATTCATAGTGTAATTAACCCCCTTAACTTTACAATGTGACATTTTAAATTTTTAACCCCATTAGTTTTTAAATACGTGAAATTAAGTACAAATTCAATTTTCCGGCCAAATTATCACCGAAAAATGATGACATGGCACATTATGTATATTAAATTTTAATCTTTTTAATCTATAAACAAATAAATAAATACAATAAAATATGTATGTTTTACAATTAAAATTACTCCATACATCATCTATTATCTTACCTGTAATTCTATTTTTTTTTTACAATTAATCAATAAAATAGGATTATATAATATACATCTAAAGTAGATAAATTTTATACATGTGTATACTATTGAAGATAGATGCTTTTATTATCTATTATTTGTTCTAAATGATGCATAAACTCAATCTTTTCCCTCATGGTTTGCACAAGCATGATTATTTTACATAATTAAATCTAAAGAACTAGTAATAAGAATGCCCTAATTTATATGCAGTTTGAAAATTGC